TAGAAGCAACTGGCAACAGCTTGAATGGGCCTGAAAGTTGGGTGGGGCAGGGCCTCAGGGAATCACCAGAGCAGGGCAAACAGTGTGAGCCAGGTTGCTGGAGTCCAAGATATGGCAGCTGTCTGCTGCCCCAGGAAAGGGCTCACCAAAGGAACAAAGGCCTCTGACAATACATCTCTCCTGGAGAAAGCCTCCTCTCCAGCCCTCACTCCAATGCCAAACAGCTCAGTTCTTCCCTGTATGTCTCTGGTGCCGCTCGAGCTGCCTCTCCTCCAAGCTTAGTGGGAGTGAGTCCAATAAGTCCGTGCGCGGGCCCTTTAAGAGGAGTTGCCTGGGGCTCCAGCCACCTCAGCCTCCCTGAGCCTCAGTTCCTGCTGGTTTTTCCAGCCAGAAGTTATGGGGACTTCTCTTCCTGGCACTAGAACACTGAGCGGCACCTGGTGTGGGATGGGGACACCTCAGTCCTAAGGGAGGACCTTCCCAGCCGAGGTGTCCCTCCTAATTTTTTATCTGCCATATGTGGGTGTGGGACCAGTCCCATGCACCTCCACCCCTCCTACCTCCACCTTCTTACCAGTCTCGATGTGGCTGCTTCTTTAATTTAATAGTTGTAGGAGTTCCATTCAGCTTGATTTCAGGTGGTTTTGAATGATAATTGTTCTGTAGTTTAGTTGTAATTTTGATGTGGTTGTGGGAGGACATGATACCACATTTACCTACGCCCCCATCTTGACCGGAAGTCCTCATTGATGTTTCTATCTCTCTCTCTCTCTCCCCCTCTAAGATTAATAATGAAAAAAAATTCTAAAAAGTATTTCTCAACTACTAGGTGAGTCTAAATTATGATTAGAAGAAAAGGAAATCATCTTAGAGCCATTTTCTATTTGAAAAAAGTAAAATAAAATAGAAATACAATCACAATAAAGGGGTAGTTGGGCAAAAAGAAATCTTCTGATTGGAAATTAGAGGTAATACATACATAATTTTCCACTGCTAAAGGAAAAAAGACATTTTTTGATCAACCATCTCATGGTCAAAAAGGTAGGAAAAGCAGAAACAGGAACAGAGGTATATCGGTAGCCTACTTCATGGTTTGAGATTCAGAAAGGTATCTACAAATATTTTTATTAAGCCCAAGGAGAATTTGGATGGATGGATGGATAGATAGATAGATAGATAGATAGATATAGATATAGATATCTCCAAGAAAGATTTTGTCTCTGAAACATTTTAATTATCTAAAGAAATTATTTTTAAATCTAAGAAAAAGGAGATAAAGATTAAACAGTGATCAATAACAGTTAAGTTTGAAAACGTGACCATCTTATTCCCAGGTACTTTTAATTTTAAAAACTCTCTCTAGATTTCCGGTCAAGATGGTGGCGTAGGTAAACGCAGAATTGCGTCCTCCCACAACCATATAAAATTACAAGTAACTACAGAACAACCATCATTCAAAACTGCCTGAAATCAAGCTGAATGGAAGTCCTACAACTATGAAATTAAAGAAGAAGCCACACCAAGACTGGTAGGAAGGGCGGAGGTGCAGATGGGCTGGTCCCACACCCACATGTGGTGTATAAAAATCAGGATGATACCTCAGCTATAAAGGTCCTCCCTGAGGAGTAAGGGGTCCCTCTCCCACACCAGGCAACCAGTTCAGGGTTGCAGTGCCAGTAAGAGAAGTTTCTATCACTTCTGGCTGTAAAAACCACCAGGAACTGAGTCTGAGGAAGGCTGAGGCTGCTGAAGCCCCAGGCAGCTCCTCTTAAAGGGCCCACTCACAGACTTACTCAGACTTGCTCCCTCTGAGCTCCGGCGTGGGGGAGGTAGCTCGAAAGGCACCAGAGACATATAGGAAAGAACTAAGTTGTTTGGCTTTGCGACAAGGGCTGGAGGGCTGGAGAGGCAATTTTCTCTTGGACATATGTGCTGTCGGAGGCCTTCGTTCCTTTGGTGAGCCCTACTCTCACAAAGCAGGCAGATGGCAGCCATATCTGGGACTCCAGTAACCTGGCTCACACTATTTGCCCCACCCTGGTGATTTCCTGAGGCCCCGCCCCACCCAACTTTCAGGCCCACCCAAGCTGTTGCTTTACAACCAGTGGCTTTACCATAGGATTGGCCTGTCTTGGATCCTGCTTCAAATTGTTCTTAATTCTCTCAAACAAGCAGCATCTGGTCTCAATGAGCCCCATATCTCTTGTTAAGTGACCCCATGCCTGGCACTGGAAGCAACCAGCCTTGGTTCACAACTTGGCTTTGCCTGGGCACCTCTAAGCCCAGCACAAGAAGCAGCCAATCTGCAGACCACTTGGTAGCTTATGCCTGGTGGCCCCTGGGTAGAACACAGGCAGGGGCTGACCTGGCCCCAGAGTCAGCACACCCAATGGACAGCTTCAGAACACTGTGAAGCACCACCACCCAACCACCTCCGCAAGTGACAAACTCAAGGAATGGACTCAGTGGGTGCCAGAGCCTCCTGAAGTAAGTCTGGCTCTGTGTGATGGTCCCTTATATAGCTGATCATCCAAGGTAGTCAGAGGTCAGTGGATAGTGGACACAGCCAGTCCTTGCAACTGATCAGTCTGAGTAAAACCCTCTCATTGATGTGTCAACAGCAATCAAGACTCAATTACAACAGAAGGGTGTAAAATCCACATGAGGGGTGCACCTCAAGGGCCCAGCTGGGAAACCAGGGAGGCTGTACCACTGGACCCTACAGGAAACCTACTACAATCAGCCACCATAGGAAGCCCAGGAGACATAACAACTCTATTTAATATATCGAAACAAACATCGAGAGGCAGGCAAAATAAGGAGACAAAGAAAGACGTCCCAAATGAAAGAACAGAACAAAACCCCAGGAAAAGAACTAAATGAAATGGAGATATGCAATCTAACAGATGCAGAGTTCAAAACATGGCTTATAAGGATACTCAAAGAACTTAGTGAGAATTTCAATTAACTTAGTGAGGGCCTCAAGAACATAAAAAAGGACCAGTCAGAAGTGAAGGAGGTACACTAACTAAAATAAAGAATAATTTACAGAGATTCAATAGTAGAGTAGGTAAAGCCAAGAAGCAAACTATCGATTTGCAATATAAGGAAGCAAAACACCCAATCAGAACAGCAAAAAAAGAATCCAAAAAAAATTAGGATAGTATAAGGAGCCTCTGGGACAACTTCAAGCAGCCAACATTTGCATCATAAGGGTGCCAGAAGGAGAAGAGAGAGAACAAGAAATTAAAAACTGCCTGGCCGGTTTGGCTCAGCAGTTAGAGCATCGGCCTGCGGTCCAGAGAGACCCAGGTTTGGTTCCTGCTAAGGGCATGTAACTCAATTTCAGTTTGTCCCTGGCCCTGGTTGTGTCAGGCGGGTGGCAGCCACTCGATGTGTCCCTTTCACATCAATGTTTCTCTCTCTCTTCCTCTCTCTCCCTCCCACTCTATCTGAATAAAAAATGAAAAAATGTCCTCGGGTGAGGATAAAAAAAATAAGAGAGGGAGGAAGGGAGGGAGGGAGGGAGGGAGGGAGGGAGGGAAGGAAGGAAGGAAGGAAGGAAGGAAGGAAGGAAGGAAGGAAGGAAGGAAGGAAGGAAGGAAGGAAGGAACTGAAAACCTATTTGAAACAATAATGGCCGAAAACTTCCATAACTTGGTGGAGGAAACAGACATACAAGTCTAGGAAGCACAGAAAGTCCCAAACAAGATGAAACCAAAGAGGCCCACACCAAGACACATCATCATCAAAATGCAAAAGGTTCAAGACAAAGAGAGAATCTTAAAAGCAGCAAGAAAAAAAGCAGTTAGCTTACAAGGGACATAAGACTGTCAGCTGATTTCTCAAAACAAACTTTGCAGGCCAGAAAGGAGTGGCGAGAAATATTCAAAGTGATGAAAAGCAAGAACCTACAACCAAGATTACTCTATCCTGCAAAGCTATCATTTAGAATCTCTGGCCGTATAAAAGAGTTTCCCAGTCAAGAAAATGTTAAAGGAGTTCATCACCACCAAACCAGCATTATATGGAATGTTGAAGGGTCTTTGTGAAGAAAAAGATCAAAAATATGAACAAACAAAATGGCATTAAATCATATCTATCTACAATTGAATCTACAAACAAAATGAACAAGCAGAACAGAAACAGACTCGTAGATAAAGAGAACATTTTGTTGGTTGCCAGATGGGAAGGGATTTGGCGGGATGGGTGAAAAAGGTGAAGGGATTAAGAAGTCAAAATTGGTTGTTAGACTGACAAACTTTAAAGGGAAAGGGGTTGGGTGGGGGGGGGGGGGGTGGAAGAAATAAACCAAAGAACTTATATGCATATATGCATAACCAATGGACACAGACAACAGTGTGGGGAAAGGCAGGAAGAGGACAGGAGCGGGAAGGAGGGGTCAATAGGGGGAAAAGGAGGAATATCTGTAATACATTCAACAATAAAGATAAGTTTAAAAAATAAATAAATAAAAACTATCTTTAATTATACATTTATAAATGTAGTGGTTGATAACTTTAGTTTCTTCTCACGCTTGGCTGCTTTAAGTTTTTAAATAATGATTTAGTAATGTTCTTAATTTATTATTTCTATTAGAAATATGCCTACCTGGATCACAAAGCTATTTATGAGGTACTATCTGGTAATGGCAGGAGGAAATAAACACCTTTTTTAGTTCTGACTTTTCAACAATCACCTTATGTGAAAATAAAAATGCCAAGCACACAAAAACATGTGTTGAATCATCAGAGATTAAAGCACAAGAAAAGGGGCTGAAGACTATGTTCCAGGTACATAATCCATACTTGATAAATGTTTGTTGGTAGAGGGAGGCAGGAAGAAAGGGAAGGAAGAGCAAGAGAGGAATAGGGAATTCCAAAAAGACAGCCACGCACAGAATCCTGAGATGGGAAGGGAAAGCTAAGTAGTTTGGTTAGAACGCAGATTTTGTGCAAGTAAGGCAATACAAGCCTAGAGAGGTGAGGTCAAACACTTACCTCAACCCATTGTGGAATAACCTCTTGTAGTCAACACTTATGATACTGATATTTTCTTTTGTAAGTTCTTCAATGGGGCTTAACCGGCCCACCTGTTGAAAACCAGGAGCTTTCTGTTTGACATAATCCCTGTCAAAACCAGGCAACCAATAAATCTGTAAGAAGAAACAGGAAATCTTTCAGTGGACAATCAGCTGTCTAGGTACAAACAGTCATAGAGAATAGACGGAGCCCTGTTCTAGCACTGGTAATAACCTACAGGGAGCAGAGGGAGGTTCTAGCCCTTGGCTTAATATTGTCTAATAAACTGTTATAATGGGGCTTTCATCAGGGTTGTTCTGCAACTGAGTTTTCTCAGATAACATCATGGGTCAATGGTCCATTATGTACAGATAGCCTCACACCAGCGAAAGGGGATGAGGGGTCAGCAGATGTGGATGAAAGGTGGGAAACATAAACATCTCCTTAGGCTGATGACACTAAATATCACTTTTGAGAGGGTGCATTTCCTTCCAATGGGAAATGCTATTATATTATGACTCATCTGTGCAAATAGTTCCATTGGTATAAAGACACATTTTTCACTCCCAGCACTCTTCCATATTCTCAGAATTTAAGAGATTTGTAATGGTTGACTACCCCAATGCAGAGAGTTGCTTCTGAAAAACATGATGAACAAATCTCTGCTCAAACAGTCATTACACACATTTCTTTTTAACAGAGTGCTGATATTTCATTTGGTTTTGGTTTTTCCCCCACTGAAATCAATAAAAGTGGGTCATTCTTGGGTTGCCATTTGCATAAGAAACTATTTCCAGCCCTGGCTGGGTAGCTCAGTGGGTTAGAGCGTTGTCCCAGTACACCAAGGTTGCTGGTTTGATCTCCAATTATGGCACATACAAAAAGCAACCAATGAAGGCATAAATAAGTGGAACAAAAAAATCAGTGTTTCTCTCTTTCCCATCTTCTCTCTCTCTCTCTCTCAAATCAATTTTAAAAAAATAAAGGAAGAAAGAAAAGAAGGGAGGGAGGAAGGGAGGGAGAGAGAGAGAGTCTCCATTTCTATAGGGAACAAAATTATTTAAGGATGCCAGGGAAGATCTACAAGGGTCAGTCAGATTCAACTTCTATGCTCCAGGGACATGCTACCCACCTCCCAACCTCTACCATAAATACTGAGATAGACATACCAGATGTTGCTCAATATTAGAGTCAAGAATCACACGTACAACACGATGGATAAATGTTTTTCTAAAAGGATGTTTTCCAGGAGGTCTACGAAGATCAAATATCACAATTTCTTTCTCCTTCTGTGCAAGTTCCAATAAATCACTTAGTTTTGGAATCACCTGTTGTCTTGCTTTTTCTTTATCAGCCTCTGATAAGGGTTTCATATTGTGAAATGGTCGGAGCTACAAAAATAAATACAAAAGAGAATGCACTGGCTTCCATTAGAAGCATTTTACAATCCTCCTGCTATGTAGCTCCACATCTAGCCCTACCTATGCATTACTCCATTACCATTGAACCCACAGGCCCTTTGAAATACTGGTCCTGAGATAAGAGTTACCAAGGAGAGACATTAAATGTAATCTCCACAGGTAATTATGGTATTTTGAATGATTTAGTCTACATCGAAGAACCTGTTGTATTTGCACTGAAAGACCTTCATGTTTCAGTCCTGACCTACCTTTTCAGACTTTTTTCTATAACTCAAGGTAATATAATCCCTTTTGCACTAGCTTCCAACATTTGCTCTCACTATTCTAGAAATAGGCTTTGGCTTCAGACTTAATTGGAGTCAATCCCAGCTCTATCACTCATTTGCCTTCTTCACCATACCTGTTAAAGTCCTAACCTCAACCTGCAAAGCCAAGTTCAAATGCTACCTCCTTTGTGAAGCCTTCCTTAACTACTCCTGAGCTGAAGAAACTTTGATGGTGTTACACTCCAATGGCCCATTTTTGGGCCTCTGTAATTATATGTCTCATTCTGCCGTCTATGGTTATTTGTGGCTGTCTTAGACCAGATTCAAATTCTGGCTTCATATGCTTCTTGCTGTGTAATTCGTAGAACCATTTAAATTCTCAATGTCTTCATTACCCAAACTATAAAATGGGGCATGGGAGGGATAATCTATATATGTCTCAAGATTATTTGAAGATTAAATGTGATGAAATATTTACAGGGTCTAAGAGCATGTCTGGTACATAGAAAAGTGCACAATTCACTTAGTTTCCTCACACTCTACTGCTTCAGCTGGAGAGTAACTCCCACACGGCGAGAACTGTCCATTTTCCTTTGAAATACACGGCCTTTCATCCTACACCCCAGTCCATACATATTTTAGTTATATTAAAGGTAATCAATGGCTGCTTTTATCATCCTTTATCAATTGTAGATTATTTGTGGGTAAAGTCAGTATAGCAAGCAGTAGCCACCTCACATTTTCTTAACTCAAATAATTTCTTTCTCTCTGCACAATTTTATCTTCATTTTCATTCTCATCCTTTCTATTTCTTCTCCTTCTCTTCACCTTTTTAAAATGCTGCCCTTTCTCACCTTGCACAATATCCCCATGCTAGACTGGAAGGCAGATCACAGAAGCTGAATTAAACATAGTATAGCCCTGGCCGGTTTGGCTCAGCGGTTAGAGCGTAAGCCTGAGGTCCAGAGAGACCTGGGTTTGGTTCCCGCTAAGGGCACGTACCTCGGTTGCAGTTTGTCCCCGGCCCTGGTTGGGTCATGCAGGTGGCAACCACTCGATGTGTCCCTTTCACATTGATGTTTCTCTCTCTCTCTCTCTCCCTCCCTCCCACTCTATCTGAACAAAATATCAAAAAATGTCCTCAGGTAAGGATAAAAACAAAACAAAAACATAGTATGGATCTGAGTTAAAGTCTATAATGAAGGATTTTCTTCAGTCCCACAAAAATAGAAATATGCTTCAGGATTCAAGATATTGTTAGACTCTATCAGATCTAGACCAACTGATTCATTTAAATGTTAAAAGAACAAGATGGCAAAGGCCAAAACAGGATTTAAATGACTAAGCTGTGCATAACTGTCTATGAATAGGGAAAAGAATAGGAAATGCACTATAGGAAGACACTTATGAAGGCTTTCCTTTAAGAATAAATTCAACGAAAAGGTCAAAATAGCAACAACAGGAGAGTTTAAAACTAGATTCCAGTAAGCTTTAAGTGATATTATGGGGTAGATATAACAGCTGAAGTAAATCAAGTCTCTTTTTTGTATATAAAATAGGGGACTTAATCAGAAAAATAAACTGGAATGAGACAATGCTAATTTAGACTATCTCCAACTTGTGGTTGAACATTTCAAAAGCTCTAGCAAGTAACAATATAGAAATGACAACAACCTTCTAGTTCTCCACATAAAACCTGCTTCCTCAATTAAAAACAATACTAAAATGTCCTCAGTTCTCTATGCCTATGCTTAGAGAAATTACACTAGAAAGGTCATTGGATGATTGAATGCATCATACTGTTTAAGAAAGAGGACAATTATCTAAATCTGCCCAATAGTGCCAATTAAAGGAAACCACTCAACAGATAATTTGAGAAGTATCTGAAAATATAGATGAACAACAATAAAGGTGCCACCACCTTTACTATGAATCCCAATACTATAAAAAATCAGATAGTTCAGAGTAGCACTGAAGTAGTGGGACTTTCTAAGAATCCCAAGTCCTTTCCTTGTCCCAACTCAGAACTGTTATTTTGAGGCTATTATCAGAAACACTCCTTTCTTCTCTCTGGCACTTTCCAAAAACTTCATCATTAGGAATCTACTCTGTAAAAACAACCTCCAGAAACATACTGCAGAGAAATTATTTTTTAGGAGTCACATAAAATTCTACTGTACATAATCAAATTATACTGATAAATATTGATTCAAAAAATAACCAAATAATTGGCCATGGTACCAAAATCCCTGAGGGGAAAAGAAGTAGAATAATTAGAATCAAACCCATAAGAATTCAGATGGACTCTGTTGACACGATTGCCTAAAATCCTTTTAATGCTGAAGTTAAGGAAGATCTAAGCCAACTCTAATAGACTTAGCTCAATAAAGATTAATTGTCCTTTCATTAGTCCAAGCTATACTTCTGCTTTACCTGCTTAAAAAAAAACAAACAAACAAACAAAAAAACTGAGATGATGGAGGATAAAGATTCATCCAATATCTGTGAGCTATTAACTAAAGAGTTTTACCTCATTTTCTAGCACTCATTTTCTATACTTTCTTTAGTCCAATTTCTACTTTCTTTGGTGTCCTAGCTAATGAAGATAGCCAATATTCAGTGCCTTCGCTAGGGAAAAATCAACAATTTACCTGGAAAGTTATGGTTTAGGCATTTACTGAAGGCCCATCCTACTCCTCTCAAGTCAAACCAAGATCTTAAAGATATGCAGCAACCCATCTTGAAGTACTAAGATTGACTCTATAACTCTATTCACAAAGTTTCTAAAGAAAAACTTTAATTCTACAAAATAACAGTTCAAGACTTCCGGTCAAGATGGTGGCGTAGGTAAACACAGTATCGCGTCCTCCCACAACCACATCAAAGTTAGGACTAAACTACAGAACAACCATCATTCAAAACTGCCTGATATCAAGCTGAACGGAAGTCCTACAACTACAAAATTAAAGCATCAGCCACATAAAGACTGGTAGGAGGGGCAGAGGCATGACAGGCAGGTCCCATACCCACGTGTGGCAGAAAAAAATTAGAAGGATACTTTGGCTGGGAAGGTCCTCCCTGAGGACTGAGGGGTCCCCATCCCACACCAGACACCCAGCTCAGGGTTCCAGTGCCAGGAAGAGAAGTCCCCATAACTTCTGGCTGGAAAAACCAGTGGAAACTGAGGCTGAAGGAGGCTGAGACGGCTGGAGCCCCAGGCAGCTCCTCTTAAAGGGCCTGTGCATGACCTTACTCGGACTCACACCCTCCAGGCTCCAGCATGGGGGAGGCAGCTTGAAAGGCACCAGAGACATATGGGGAAGAACTGAGTTGTTTGGCATTGGAGTGAGGGTTGGAGAGGTCTGGACAGATGTGCTATCACAGGCCTTTGTTCCTTTGGTGAGCCCTTCCCTGGGGTGGCAGAGAGACGCCATATCTGGGACTCCAGCAACCTGGCTCACACTGTTTGCCCCATCCTGGTGATTCCCTGAGGTCCTGCCTCACCCAAATTTCAGGCTCACCCAAGCTTTTGCCAGTTGCTTAACCACAGGATTGGCCTATCTTGGATCCTGCTTCAGGTTTTCCTAAATTCTTTCAAACAAGCAGCATGTGGTCTCAGATAGCCCCATACCTCTCGTTAAGTAATACATAGAAATAAACACAGGGAGGCAGCCAAAATGAGGAGACAAAGAAACAGGTCCCAGATAAAAGAACAGAACAAAACTCCAGGAAAAGAACTAAACAAAATGGAGATAAGCAACCTAACAGATGCTGAGTTCAAAACACTGCTTATAAGGATGCTCAATGAACTTAGTGAGGGCCTCAAGAACATAAAAAAGGACCAGTCAGAAATGAAGGATGTACAGTCAGAAATGAAGGAGGAACTAACTGAAATAAAGAATAATTTACACAGATTCAATAGTAGAGTATGTAAAGCCAAGAAGCAAACCATCGATTTGGAATATAAGGAAGCAAAAACGCCCAATCAGAACAGCAAAAAGAAAAAATAATCCAAAAAAATGAGGATAGTGTAAGGAGCCTCTGGGACAACTTCAAGCGTACCAACATTTGCATCTTGGGGGTCCCACAAGGAGAAGAGAGAGAACAAGAAATCGAAAACCTATTTGAAGCAATAATGGCAGAAAACTTCCCTAACTTGGTGAAGGAAACAGACATACAAGTCCAGGAAGCACAGAGAGGACCAAGCAAGATAAACCCCAAGAGGCCCACACCAAGACACATCATCATCAAAATGCAAAAGGTTCAAGACAAAGAGAGAATCTTGAAAGCAGCAAGAGAAAAGCAGTTAGTTACCTCCAAGGGAGTTCCCATTAGACAGTCAGCAGATTTCTCAAAAGAAACTTGCAGGCTAGAAGGGAGTGGCAAGAAATATTCAAAGTGATGAAAAGCAAGAACCTACACCCAAGATTACTCTATCTTGCAAAGCTGTCATTTAGAATCGCTGGCCATATAAAGAGTTTCCCAGACAAGGAAAAGCTAAAGGAGTTCATCACCACCAAACCATTATTATATGAAATGTTGAAGGGTCTTCTTAAAGATAAAAAATATGAACAAACAAAATGGCAATGAATACATATCTATCAACAATTGAATCTACAAACAAAATGAACTAGCAGAACAGAAGCATTCTCATAAATACAAAGAACATTTTGTTGGTTGCCAGATGGGAGGGGAGGTTGGGGG